AAAATATTTCTAACAAAATACCTTCATTTAAGTATCTAAAAGTACCAATTCAACAGTAGAGAAACATATAGGTAAAAGGAAAGTAATGCTGAAACCATTAGAGACTATTAAGTAAACCGAGAAATAAAGGATAATTTGAACTTAAGCTATATGAACAAGGGAGCTAATTTGGTCAGTGCTTTACAAGAGAGGTGCACCATATGACAAGAGACCCACCTCTACTCCTCCAATACAGAATAAGACCACCAGAACTTCAATAAACCACCTTGACATGAGTTTGTACAGCATGACTAAGAAACAGGAAGCAACCACAACAAATAGGATCGCTGATGTCATGTTGATATCCACAATACCACCAGAATGAGTGCCTTCTGCAGGTAGATATTCTTCAGAGGCATCCTACAATAGGGGAAAAATCTATTAGTTCTCCTGAAAAAGTCCATAATTTTCAGGGAAGAAAAAGATCCATACTGTAAAACACAGTAACTATCTGGCAAATGATGACCTTTTTTTTTTGTAATAAAAAGTATCAAATGTATATAAGGCAAATGATGACCTTTAACAGCTTGTCTTGCTCAATGGCTGCTTCTCTGGCTGTCCATGCAGACCAATAAGAAGCACATAAAATGGTACCGACTGCCATGAGCCACAGAAACACCTCAGCCACATCAACTACTGGACGTTTTGGTGAATATAGTGCCAACATAACTGAATAGACACCATTAAGATGAAATGTGCAGCCGCGTGAAAATAGTGCCAGAAAAGATCAGCTAAAGTAACTGAATAAACATCATTAGCATAAAGAATGAAGCCAAATGAAAATCAGTGCGTACTGCCTGCGAAGATCAGGGCCAGAGTAACCGAATTAACAATCATGATGCAAAACATGCAACCAAACGAAAATCAGTTCCAAAAAATAATTACTTACTACCTAGCTATGACACTAATGCATGGCATAGGAAGTTATTATGATATTAAGATTGTACAAGAAACATGCAGAACAAAGAAATGCATACCTACGGAGCCGTTCATAATATACTTTTCCAAGCTGGCACCGGCATCTTGAGGAAGCATAACAGCAGGTATGCCTATTTCTAAATCAGTTTCATTCCCCTCGCACACCATCTTAAAAAGTTCTGCAAACAAAATACAATAATTATAGACTGGAAGCAAAGTTTTGTCTTGTGCTCTGCTTCTGGTGCTTCTGTTTTATCATTGTAGAACTGAAATCTACAATTATAGCATGATCAATATGGAACTGGAATAAAGATTTTCTTTTCCTTCTGCAAACATCTAAAATTAGTATAACTGCAATGGAAATACAGTAAAGGAAAGGGAATATTCAAATACCTGTACGATAGTTTATTATGAGGATTGCTGAAGCACCAGCCTCTTCAGCAATATTTGCCTTTCTAGTGAAGCTACAGTTACCTCGGTGGACAAGAATGACCTCCCCTGTAAGCTACCAAAGCAATGAAATTACATTATGAGTGGAAACAATTCAATGTCGTCTTGGACACATTATGATGAAGTAAGAGAAAACAGATCTATGGATGAAAACTTAAGCATGTAAAATATGTGGTCATAAATTGAAAACCTTATTTTTGGGTTTGCTACAGCAATCAGGAGGATCTGCCAGAGCAAGTCTAGTTTGGTTGGCATGCTTCTCCTTTGATTCCAAGGTAGGTCCAAAACGAGCACCAACACCAACGTACTCCTTGTCTTCTATATGATCAACCCAAGTAGGGACTTTTACCTAGTAACAGATGATAATCAATGCAACGGACAAAAACCTTCATCAGGATTTAATGCAGATCACAGTGACTGCTAAACGAGACAACACTTGGCTAAATTCAATAGCTGAGAAATAGATCCGATAAAATGGATTAAAAAAAATATAGAATAACACGCTTTTTGAGTAGTTAATCAAAACATCCAAAAAAAGAGATTTGCTTGAACATACTCTGTGCCTCAGCAAATGAAATACATAAAAGTGAGAATTTACTAGCTCGAAAACTCATTTGACAAACAAATATTACTATACTGAGTTGTAATTAATATTTTCCACATTCTTAATTCACATCATCGAAAATTCAAAAGTTCCTTTTTCCCCTTTCTGCACTTTCCTTTTCCGTCCTTCCCTAATCAACCGAACAAAACTGGATGAAGGAAAAAGCAGGCAAAACCAACTAAACGGACTCCACCACAATCACCCAGCACAAATAGTTTCCTTAGAAAAAAATCTTAAATTAACCACAAAATCAAACAAACCAAGACAAAAAAAGGTTCTCTTCTCTTTCCCTTTTTTTCTTAGCAATCAAACAGAAAAGATAACAACACAAAACCAAATCAAATACAATAAAAGAAACATGTCAAATATGTTTGGAAAAAGAAATAGAAAAGGAAGAGAGATTAGGGTTCTTAATTCATTTACCAGAACAAAGTTGTTCTCGCAGCCGGGCTTTTTGGGAGCGACGTCGTCTTGGTGAACTATGTCTCCAGCTGACCCCAACCTCGAAGTAGACAACAGAGCAATACAAACTATATAAAAAACTCTCTGTATATCCATTTTTTCATTTAAAAAAGTTGAGTTAGGGTTTAATCTAGAGAGAGAAGAGAGCAAGAAGAAGATGAAAATGGGAAGAAGCTGCAAGGAAAGAGAAGGCGGGGAGGAAAACTATCGTGAGAGAAGAGTAAAGCTAATATTTCTAGTTGTCGTTTTGGGGCTGAAAGATGAAATTCACGCCGTGTGGGAACGGCTGTTAAATGGAATCACTTCTTCCTGAGGTCCACGCGCACATATCTGACGCTGCAGTGTCTGTCCAGTACACGCGCTTTTCCGCTGGGCTTTGATTGGTAGGAAATGACGTGGACGTAGTGGATCCTCGCGGGGTGATGACGTGATGTGATGTGTCCAATAAATTTTTGTTACCTTGATTTTTTTTTTTTCTAAAAAGAGAAATCTTAAAAAATAAGTGAAAAAATATGTATATCTAATAATTAATAATTTTAAATATATTTTGCTTAAAAAACTAATTTTAAATATAATACTAATTATGTTCTAGATTATATTATAGTGATTAATTTTTTATAATTTAATTCAAAATATAGTACATATTTTGATTGAAATATAAATATTTTTAAATTATATTATTTATTATTTATTATTATCATAATTTATTGTAAAGTAGTAAAAAATAATATTTTTATCATAATTGGATAAAAAGTAAATAAATTAGGTTAAAAATTAAAATAATAAACATTTGATTATAATGATTCATATACAATAGATGTAGGGATAGTATTCAACATGTGATATGAGAGTACCAACCTACTCCATTTTGTTTTTTCGTAATGTTTTATTTAAAATTAAAGTAAATTTAATTTTATAACGAAAATTAATTAGATAGAATTGAAAATAATTATTTATTATTTAAAAATAACTTATTTACATATATTTTTTTATATAATTTAATTAAATTAAATCTATAAATATTTTTATAAAATAAATATTTATTTTTATTTATATTATTCTTTATATTTACTATTTTTTAATTTAAGATTAATGATCTAATTTAGATATTATAAACAACTGAATATGATATATATATATATATATAATTGTTATTCAATTTAAATTCAAGCTAAATTTAAAATTTTAAAAAATATGTAGATAAAATTTAAATTAACTAAAACCCAATTCAAGACAACTTATTTTCATTCTTAAAACAAGAGAAATCATTCTAAAAAATCTTCTCAATTAATGGTTTAATTTTTTTAAAACACATTTTTTCGATTAAAGAAAAATAGGTTCTTACTACTCAAATAAAATGATTGATTTCTATGTTGTATCATAAATTGTTAGTAAATAATTAAATTAACATAAATATCCAATTTAATGATGAGAGAAACATGTCTATTTTTTATTTTAAATATTCTGCTATTGGAATACCAAAACTTCAAATTTATAAATATTATTATTTTATAATAAATTTTGTCAATGTCTATCAAAAAAATAATACTTTAAACTAATTTCGTGTGCTCAAATTTACTACAACAATTTTCATATTTTATTTTATTTTTATAGTATAAAAAAAAAAAAGAGCGCAAAGAACAAGGAGGAGGAACGAAAAATGATATAGTTATGGACTGTAGAGGTGGGGTCGTTGGAAAAGGTAAAGCGCGTGGGATAACCTTTTATATTGCCGTACAAAGTGACCGGCGATTGCCTATATAAAAAATCCGTACAGACCGTACAGATAAGGTGTCGGGATAAAAAATTACGTGGTAGTAATCACGTACACGCAACTCCATTAAGCATACCTATATATGGATGTCTTACTGGTTAAAATAGTGTGAGCGAACAAATTACTGACACGTGGAGGAGGAGCAAGTGAACCGACCTCATGACAGAACTACACTCTCTTTAACGATACGGTGCGGAAGCTGCGCAAGAGTGGGGCCCTACGTGGGTGCAACTACAACTTTTGGCAACTTATATTTAACACGTGTGAGATCTTGACTGATGGTCGATTGGCACGTGAGAGATTTAACATGTGTGGGGTAAAACCAGATGAAATTTTTATGGTTTCAGAGTGAATTGTCAGGATGAGATCAACCCCACCAAAGCTTGGAGCTCAGAAGTCAGCACCGCCCACAAAGTCTTTTGTTTTTGTTTTTTTTTTTTGAATTTTTAATTAAATAATGATATATATATATATATATATCTTTATTTGGAAAAATAATGCTAACATAGTTTACAATAACGTGAAAACAAAGGGGAAAAGAAAAGGAAAAGAGATACCCTTGACTTGGATTAAGAAATGATTAATGACATGATAAAGGAAAGAGAACTTAGATTTTCAAATAATTTAAATTTATTGTAAATTTAAATTTTATAAAAATTTCAGATAATTTTTGACTTTATTCAATTCAATCTTCTACCTATAAAACAACAGAGTTTCTCATATAACGGCAGAAGATAATAAATATGTCAGTCCCATTTCTGGTTCTCATTAACAGTTTTCTCTATTCCTCTCAAGAGTAAAGAAGCTATGGTTTCAATGTTATAATAACAAAATCAAACACCAAATGTTATAATAACAAAATCAAACACCAAATAACTAGCCGCAAATTTCATTAGAAAGCCATAGTTCACCAACTGTATAATGCATCTAAGCACCCTAGTAATGGCTATACCATATATATGTGTGTAATGGACGGAAGGAACAGAAAAGATCAAGGAGTGTACCATCATCAATTCGATCATCCATATTTGAAGTATAAATTATCATCATATCATCAACTATTCTCCTAAAGACACGATAGTCTGGTTCTTCAAACCTACCATTTTTGCACCTTGTTGAAGAAAACTCAAGAACTTTTCAGTTTTGTTCCCTCCACTCTTGAATCGCTGAACGAAGAGCTCGGTTAGGAACAAGATCCCGATGAATAAGCCTAAGGTTTGTCATCGGTGAAGTATCGTGTCCATTCTCAAACCATTCCATCAAAGCTGATGCTTCATAAGTAAAACCATCTGCCGTGACATGGGGATCCTGCATCACTTCCTGCAATCATGAGCAAGTAGACTTAATACGTACTCGTTGTTGAACTTAAAAGTTGGTGTCCTGGCAATAGAATAAACAAATGATTCATCTAATCCGCATTTATTTTTGCTGATTGTAAAATAATAGAGCTGAACTAATTTTCTCAAAAGTTCATAAGAATTTCTTAACGTGCAACCAACTAAACTATAAGTATTGTCAGAGTATAAATTAATTTTATTTTATGCTGAAATAAATTAACAAAAATAAAAAAATAATTATAATTCGAATGTTAAACTTTTAAATCTCACAACATGTTAATTGATAGAGTTAAATTAATTTTTCAAAAAATATAAAAGTTGACCGGAAATAATATGATTTATTATATATTCATTTTTCAGAAGAAAAAATGTAGATTTATTATTTGTACATTAATGTTGGCAATTACCAGAGCGGAATAATAAGGAATTTTATCATCTAATATGTGAAATAGCAAAACTGCAATGATCTTAATAGTTAGAATACAAAGACGTTTAGCAAGAATATCTTAGCAAAAACTCCAACAGAAAAATCACATTCCAAGAGTATGTTAAGAAGAAGAAATCTGGAGTTACCTGTAAAATGGGACAAACAAAATATGATGGAGTCTGCCTCTTCTCTTCAGGACGCACAAATGATGATGAGGAGAATCCACAAGAAATTCTTATAGGTTCAAGCACCCTCCATACCTCAGAAACAAGGTCTGGTCTGCTTCCACGATTAATCTCACAGCACCTCAAGGCTAAATCAACCAACCGCTTGGCATGCCCAAGTGGCCACTCTCCAGCTAATGGATCCAAAAGGGTGTCAAGATTTTCTTCACCAATTCTTTCTTGCACTTCCTGTGCTATACACAAGGGATTTCTTCTCGTCAATAACTGTAAGAGTATAACACCAAATGAATAGACATCTGACTTCGGAGATAATTCTTCGCCTTGAAATAACTGCGGATCCAAGTAAGGGATAGTGTCTGTCAGATACTCAGTTCTATGAGACCTAGATGTGGTCCCATTTCCATGATATTGTTGGATATGACAGACACTGAAGTGGCTAAGTTTGCTGACATAGTTAGCATCAAGGAGAATATTTGCTGGTTTCAGATTGCCTTGTGAAATGGCAGGAGGATTGCTGGAGTGTAGAAAGATGAGGACAGAGCATAACTCAGTAGCTATGCATACTCGAGTCTGCCAGGAGAGTGGTGGGCTGTTGCCTTTGCAGTTGAGTCGGTCTTCAAGACTTCCATTAGGGAGGTATTCATAGATTAGAGCCCAAATTTCAGGACAGACACCGATCAGAGTCAATAGGTTTGGATGCCTCAACTTACTCAAAACATCAACCTGAATTAACACTAAGGGACAAACTTAATTGCACTAGTCCTAATATAAAGATAACGTTTCTTTTTCTGTTTTAACTTGAACAGTGAAGATCAATACCCAACAGTATTCAAAGAAGTATTGCACTTTATATTATATTGATATTCAGAACGAAAACAAACTAAAAGTTAAAGCACCTTACCTCCAGCTGAAATTCTGAGGGGCCCTGTAGGCTATTTGTGTGCAGGATCTTTACAGTTACTGGGGTATGCCGAAGTATACCCTTGTAAGTGCTTCCATAATCTCCTTCCCCAATCTTCAAGGATGGGTCGAAGTTGCAGGTTGCTTCCTGAATCTCTGATACAGAAAACTCATGGAAGAACTGGTGCACATCCATACTGGAGTCTTCTGCTTGTTTCTTCAAAAGCTCCTCAGTAATTTTGAGAGCATTGTCACTCTTTTCCTCAAAGTCGTCCCGCTCTTTCTTGAAAATCTGTGATAGTTCCAGAGCAGAAGCCAACTCATCCTCCAAGTGTTTTATCATATAATCACTACTTGCAACTTGGCTTTCCATTAGCAATTTCTGATCAATAGCAATCAAACGCTCTTCATCTAGCTCCTGCTTCATCTTTTCAGCATTTTCTCTTTCTCTTGCTAACACACCTTCAATTTCTTTCCTGTGTCTTAACTCTTCATTGTACAATATTTCCAATGCTCTAGCCTGTAATCATTTACTATGTTTAGGAAATTGCATCGGATCAGATTTATAAATTTTAGCCTGAAGAAAAGAAGTTACTAAAAGGTAGCAGAATATATTGATGCCTATTCACATTGGATATTCCACTAAACACAATCTAGAGAGCATAAAACCATCCATTCTGGAGGCACCGGGATTAACTTTGGGAATTTAAACCCTCCATTTCTTCACATAACCAATTAACTGTGATCCCATTTATACCAAATTTATAATCATTATTTACTAAAAGTAAGTTCCATGAATTAAAAAGATTATGTTGAACTCTATGACTATTCTAATTAAGAAAATCTAATTATTTTATAATGTTTCAATCATTCAAAAATGTAATTACTCGTTGAGACTAATCTCAACTTAGTCACTACAGTTCTATTAATATACTAGTGAATTAAATTATTAGTCTCATTAAATGAAACATTATGGATCAGCACTGCCAGACTATAATACATCTATAAAACGACTAATTTTGTTGTTTTCAAGTAAAATATAAAACTCTTAACCATTAAATCACCATTTTGTTAGTTGAATCATTCAAAATTTGATCCGCTGATAGTATTTTTATAAAATATTACTATATACAATTGTATTCATGATCATGAATCTTTCTTGTTCAGTGGTCTTTTCATATCCTATCTACAACAATTATATTATGTACATAAACTGTAATAAATTTATTGAAAAAATTATCTAGATTACCTTACGGGTAGCCTCAAGGAGACCTCTATCAGATTTGATGCGTCTGAGAGACTCTTCAAAAGCTTCTTTTTTTAATTTCTCAGCCTCCTCCATAGCTTGCTCGAGTTGATCGTAGAAGTGATCGTCGCCACCTCCTTCCTGCATAATTTTGGACACCATGCAGGACATGGACAAAATATTTAAATTTCTTCAGAAAATAAAAGATCCAGAAAAAAGCCACAGCAAGAATTTTGAAAAATGGCTTTTTCGGTACTCTGAATAATTTTAAAATTTGTGACATGTATCAACTGAATATATACCAGAGTACTAGATGAATGTAAATGATGATCTTCAGATATAGGCTGATTATTCGACTCTATATCATTTTCATTCCTGTGAGAAAAACAAAGCCCAACCATGATCAAGAAATAGAATATCTTAAGTAGGAAAATTAACATGAAGACACGAGACAGAAAAAAGAAATTAAGAAACCAAGTCATCTTTCCAAAATGCACTCTAGCTACAACCAGCAGCCTAGAAATCTCTCAACCGTCAAAGACACATAGGGAAAAACAAGTAGAACAGAAGAACATATATACCATGTATGGATAAGATGCCCTCTGCAGATAAACCAAAATTGACAAGATGGAGGCCCATTTTGGAGCACATACTTGGCTTTATTTGACTTGAGATCCATCATTCTCCTGCATAGTTAAAGGTTTTTATAAGCAACGTCAGCAAAGGTGCGAATTCATCTGCTAACTTGCTCGGCCATCGACTAAGTCCGATGTTTTCAGATTTCACTGATCCATTGACCTGAACAAGATCTGCACTCCAATATCCTCTCCAGATCATGCAAATGCTTTATCGTTGAGATCCATGGTACAGAATAGAAATAAAACAAGTAAATAAATGCAATGATTTTCAAGTTAAATGAAAATTATTTCCTAATTCATTTGTACACTGAATAGTGCTTGTCGGCTGCTGCTCCCATCACAA